GATTTAGTGTCTTGTGATGGTGGATTTGGCATGCTCTTCTTTGTAGAGATAGTTTATGGTAGATAAAGAGAAAGCTGCAATAACTCGATGCTCCTTGTGGCAGCAGGAGTTGTATGCTCCCCAGGGAGTTGAGATTGATAATAAGATGTGCCATTGAGATTGACATCCAATGATCAAGGGAAAAAATACCACTACCTTGAGCATGCACTGGTGCGTGGCTATGTCCGCTATATAAATATCCAATAATAAAATAAGATAAATAAAAAAGATAGATAAATAAAAATATATTATGACCACTTTCATTTTGTGGGTGCAGAACCTTAAGTGATGATTTATGTTTATCATCTAATGCTTTCTGTATTACAAAAGTGAATCTAAATCATTGTTGTAAATACTGACTCGCAGTCACAAAATTGTAAATTTCTGATTCTCTAAATAAACCAGCAATATACATATGAAACGAGTGGATGATGGTTATAGAACAAGGGGCTGTAGCAGGACAAAGATGTGACATTAATACACTCTTCCCCAGCATGTCCCATGTTAAAGTAGTTTTGTAATGAGTAATGATATTAGAACTTTACATAAGTGTTCAAGAAAAGGAGTTGAATTCCCTAAAGACATGTTTGACTTTAGGGTCAATACTTAGGGTCGGAAGTATTTCACAGGGTTGGTCAGGTAATTGGAACCAAATGCTTTTTTCACTGCAGTATTTCAGTACATGCTTGTATGAAGCAAGTGATCGACAACTTGGTTAAAAATGTCACATAAACAGAATGCAAAAGTTGCACCCAATTAGTCTATTCTTTCTTCCTTGACAGCTTCTGAAGTACCACTCGAAGAAATATTCTTTATGATCCCATGAATATATTTCACCTCAGATCTGTGTTCCATGTAAGTTATGATTGTTTCAGAGAGTAACAGCGGGTGAAATTTGTTTATAAATCATGTCACGCGTAGTGCAGTCCAGCAGTCAATGACCTCTATCTTGCTGGTGACCAAGACTGGACAAGTGACAGTGTTGGATCTTCTGGGATCATGTGTGGTCACTGACAAATAGCGATGTGGAGGAAATCAATTCAGGCCTCATCACATACTCCGTATGTTTGTCATGTCACTGTTGGGCCAATTTCTTGGATTGTTGGACTTCCGAACAAACGAACAATTGTCTGCTTAGCTTACAGAACTAGGCCACTGGTAATGGAAAGGATCTGCTACCATGGATATGAGTTTGTGATGACACGATACCTGGGTGTGTGTTGGCATGCTGACGGATATCAGGCATGTTGTCAAAACTGACATTGTGTCATTGCAAATGTTACTGCAGTATGACATTCAGGTCAGACCTATTTACCCCATAGAACCTGGGCAAGGTGTTGCATGAGTGTTTTAACATCATGCATCTGATTGTGTTTACGGTGACCTCAAGTGCAGTCTTAGTAAACTAAGATGCAACCTTTTAATTTTTGTTTTTGTCTGGGATCTCTACAGTTTACTTTCCAGTCCTTGTCATCCATAAGTGGATGTCCTTAGATCCTTAAAATTCAAATCCACATAACAGATATACTCTTGGAGGTAGTCATCAGGGTCATCAGTGTGGAGAAATGAAAGAAATTTTTTAGAAGTGAGAAGAGACATGACTGAGTGTGTGATGTATTTCCTGCTAAATACTGTCACTTTGATGTCCAGGTTTACAGGGCTAAGTCCCCTGGGGCTGAACATGCCTGTGTGTTGGGGCTGAACATGCCTGTGAAATTGTGTGAGGGAAGGGGGGAAAGACTTGGGGTGTGGATGGTGTGGTGGTGCTGAACATTCCTGTGTGTTGGGGCTGAACATTCCGTTGTGTTGGGGCTGAACATGCCTGTAAAATGTGTTGAGGGCTGGGGCAAGACTTGCCTGTGAAATTGTGAAATTGTGTGAGGGGAGGGGGGCAAGACTTGGGGTGTGGATGGGGTGGTGTGGCTGAAAGTGCCAGGACAGATGAGTCGGTTATACTTGCGCAAGTGTCTGAAGTAATAATTGATAGTTTAAATGATAATTTCTAAAACATTTAACTGAAAATAACACATTGTCCCCCTAACAGACTGGTGTCCTTAGTCTGCTTATTTAAACTTGCTTCCCTAAAGGATAGAAATACTATACATCCATGGGCTTAGCATTAAGTACAGCCTTGGAGCATAAGGTTAGGCTAATACCACATGTTGCTCACGTAGGATAAAAACACAAATTGCATGTGTAGGATAACACCACATATTGCATATAGGATAACACCACATATTGCATATAGGATAACACCACATATTGCACATAAAGGATAACACCACATGTTGGATAACACCATATGTAGGATAACACTGCGTAATGAACATGCAGGGAAACAAAACAGATGTTTATGTAAATATGAATGAATACACTAACTATGCTGTAGGTTGTGATGCTATGTTTTAGAATGATGAGTTAAAGATGGCAGTCATCACCACAGGTGTCTAAACTTCAGGACTGTGAAAAACTGCTTTCAGGTCAAACGGTCACTGTATACCAGACAACCAGGCACAAAGATGTGAAAGCTCACATATCTGATAACACACATGCCATCACACACGTCAGGAGTAGTTGACTTTAGACATACTAGAAGATCACACTGTCATATTGTGAAGATCACAGCAGCAGGTCCTTAAATTCAGACAGAAGATCAAGATCCCATAGACACCCCTTGATTTTCTAAAACTTTTAAGGAATTCTCATGTTTAGAATTTCAGTCCAATGTCTCTGTATATATATACCACCATTATGAATGGGATGTTATAAATTTTGCAAAGAGTATTTTACATTGGTAAGAGCTTTTTGCTAAGGTATGTGGTATTGCTGTACGCTTAGTATCTCTAGAGTGTGTCCTTCGTGACAGATAGCATGTTCTTAATTAATGCTGTGAAAGACATGAGTGAGTTAACTGTGCAGTGGTAATAATTTTCCCAAAGCAATTATTGACATAGAAATACCCTGCAAAGGCAACTTGACGACACAAATATGCGATAGGGTTCAACACGACCACTAGCCTGTAGTCTGAGGCTAGTGAGAAGCAGTAAGGACAAATCTGTTTCTCTGGAAACATGATAATGTTATAATAACATGTCTGAAATGAATTGTGGATTGGTTGAATGCAACATTTGTAAATTACAGTGGTCAGAGAGTCACTTTCAAACATAGCCTCAAGCATGTGTGATTCTTGATACATTTTAAATGTTCTTGTTTTCATATTCATTTCAGGGTTGAAAGTTCTCGGTATTAAAGTGCCAGTTCCACAGTTAAAAATATCATGACACATTTAAAGCATGTTCACAGCACCTTAGAGTTATATCTAGAAATACTTTTCGTTTGTGAAAGAAAGTGGTTCAAAATTTTATATTATTCTGAACAACCACATAGAAAAGGAAAAAAATATCAACTCACTTTATAAACATATATCTTGTTTTCATTAAATGGAATCCCAAAAGGCACACCTAGATCTGTAAAAGTGCCTTAAGGCTTATTGAAACAACTGCGCTTCCATCACTGTATGTTATGTGTCAGATTTGTAGGTTGATCAGAATTACTGCGATTTAGTTGTTTGTTACGTGAGCCCAGCTCGTCATTCAGTATACCTGGGCCCTGTTTCACCAAGACAGCCCACACTACGGCAGCGTTCTAGTGTATTCAGCTTGTATTTTTAGAACATATTCCACAAATACCTTTCATATTATGAGCTGAAAGCATTAAAATACGTTCCCCTGGAGTCAATATTAGCTCCTGCTTTGAGGCTTATCAGGAACTGATGGAGGAATGTCAAATGAGGAATGCAGGAACGTATCAATCAGCTTCACCAGGATATAAACTGAATATCATCATTGATAAGAAGATTGTCATAATAAAGACTCAAATTAATGTCAGGAAAAATTCAGCCAGACATGATTTATTGCTGGATCACTAGCCCATGACTGACTTGAAACAAACATGTTATTGTAATGCTTTTGTGAATTACGCCCATGCTCTTTCAGTGTTAAAACTCAAATTACTCAAAATTTCGGGAAATGTTGAGTTTGTAGGTACACTGTGACCTTGGGGAACCCTAAATCTTTAGTTCCTGTCACTTGTGTTAATAACCTTGACCTTTCTTTTAAACATGCTTCTGCTGTATTTGCCTTGCGCAGTTCACGGTCTCCGTTTGTCTATGACAACATAGCTCCTGTGTGGGGTACCTGGCTCCTATTAGGAGCAGGTAACTTGATAAGAACTATTGTGTATAACCACTGTTATCTACACTGGCAGTTCTAAGCTGTAACTCACTGCTCATGAACAGGTTCTTGGCAGTGGTGAAAGATTTTCCTGTGATATAATATCAGAAATCTCTTATTACTTAATCGGACCTGGCTGTATTGTGTTGAGCTGGCAACAACAATAGGCTGTATTGTGTTGTGTCGGTAACAGCATATTATGAAGGCTGGAGAGGTGCACCAGTATAATGCTTCACTGATTTTATGGCTCATGCAGTTTCTCCATGTTGTTATGGCAGACACTGCCAGACAGACCACGAAATACACATATTATGCTCAAGCCAAATGGGTTTAGGAAATATGTAAACACTGCAATAATGGCAAAGATTCTCATTTACTTTTGTGTACACTTTATATGACCAAATATGTTGTTAGTTGTTTAGGATATTTTCTGAAACATTTAGTTTTTCAGATTTTCCAAGATGAAACAAATATATATATATATTTCTCTATTGCTCAAGGAATTACTTGAAAGATTTTTCATGAAGAATATACTGAAAGGCTTTTTCATAAAAAATATTAATCTGAATATTTGTTTAGTGTAAGGTCCCTGTAGTTTGTGTGGTAAATGTTTCCTGATTATTGACATGATAAAAGTGTGTCTTATCTTAGATAGCCAGCTTGACGAAAACCGGGTAAATATGTTATAAAGATGTTTGTACAAATAACGTTAAGGTTGTTGATACTTACTCTTCCAACTCCTCAGGTTTTGGGGTATCCTTTTCCGGGGAGGGAGTTTTAGACTTCTGTTTTTCTTCTTTCTCAGTTTTTATAGCATCTGCATCCTCTGACTCTGATGTTGTGCGCTTCTTACGACAGCAACACTGAAATATGGCTGCCATCACACACATACCAAAGAAAGCTGCTACTGTGGTAGAGACTACAACCACCATCTTAGGTACACTAGACAAGATATCACTTCGCTGGACGTCCTGGGACAAAGCTTCAGAATGCCCTATTTCATTTTCTTCATCTTGATATATAGAATTTTCAGCTCTTAAAACCCTCCGGCTGTTTTCGAACTTGTCTTCCCTGTAGTCAGTGGGAGTGAAGTCCCAATCAGACCGGAGTCTATGTTTGGATTTAACTTCCCTGTTGTGGACTTGTTGTGAAGTTTGTTGATTATGGGCAGCCTGCCTGTGTTGTGAGTCATTATCCTGTACTATAGGAAGCCTCTTCTCTTCATGGTCGCTGCTCCTTATCCTATGGAGCCCCCTCGCACCTTGTGTCTGTCCGTCTGCCTCTACATCTTGCTTCAGAGTGAAGGCAACAGCTAGGGAGGAATAACAAGCTACCAGGAGCAAGCATAGGTGTATAGGTATCCAGGTCATTTTATCTGGCAGACGTAACTTTACAGGAAGTAGTGATGATTGCCGCTACATGATCGGCAGGTTTGAACTCTCGCCAATTTTCACTATTCCACAAGCAGGAACGCTCACATGAGCGCGAGGCAAATAATGAAGTTGTGCACTGAGTTAAGAATGTGGTCAGGTGCATATAACATTGGTTTACTCTCCTGGCTGACGAGGAGGAGGCCACAGAGCAGGGTCAGATGTGTCTCACTGTATACACACTTGGTCCCCATCCTCCTCGCACAGGCAGACACTCACTGGAGTAATCTCCATGTTGTTTAATTACTGACCTCCTGGCTGCCGCTCTGGCCAGGGTATATCACTGACATATGGTCAGATATATCACAGAGTTGGACACTAGTGTAAGCAGATGCCAAATAATTCAGGTGTGGGGTGGCATTTGTTCTCACTTCACTTGTGATTTCCGGGATCACTTTGTAAATAATCTACACCAAGATATTTACTTACAGTCACACTGGGTTTTGGAGAGAATTGACGGAGAATAAGATAAACCTGATATAGTTGGATTAATCACTCAGCTGTAGTGCACAAAACTGAATCCTTTTGAATCCTTTTGAATTCTTTTGTAAGAAATATGCAGGTTAATTATTTACCAGAGCTTCAAGTTCAGTCATGTTGAGAGAAAGAGTCTCTGGTGCTCTGTAGAAGATGAAAATCAGATATGAATTGTCCGTCTGCTCTTGTTTTGAGGGTTCAACAGCAAGAGAAGCAGTGTCTAGACGCGTGTTTGCTGATGCAGCCGGCAGATCAATTAAACAATGCAACAAATACACACACACCTCAGCTTCTAATTCCTTGGTAATGATGAGAGTGACTCGCCTGAAGTCTCAGTTCGCAACTTAAAGAAAAACGCTGTTCACAGATTAAACTTAAGACAGGAGCTGAGTCCGAAAGGCACAGTTTTTTTATAACTGTAATATTTCCATGTGAACAGAAGTTATGTATCGACCATTGTTCCCTTTAAAACTTATACAAATAGTTTTCACATCACAACACACTTTTTCTGAAAGGTTTTCTTTGAAAAGTGCAAATTGTTTCCTGGGAAAATTGGTCCTCCCTATTCTGTCTAATCACTTCTGTTCTGTTATGTAACCTTCCTCTGGGGATGCAGTTCTCGGCTCATGCCATTAGTGTGCACTATTGTAACTGGTCTTGTCATCTCCGGCTGGCTGGCAACACCGTGCCGTCTCGTGTCATCTACCTGTCAACAAAATACAGCACATTAGGAATATGATCAAGATCTTCGGATGTGAACTCACTCATTATGTGTGGGCGTTATTGTTGCTGGTATAATGCAACAGGATGTAGTCTTGATAGATATGTGATGCAAATACAAGTATTTCCTGTATTTGATGAATAATAGCATAATATATATCAATGTAAACTGCTTGGCAAAAGAAAGTGGACACTTGGAAACTGGAATCGACTAAAGAATACAAGTACTATCAAAATGTTACAAAGCTGAAAACGTTTGCAGAATCACTGCCGGTCCAAAGCACAACTATGACCCGTATCAGATACATCACCATAGAATAACCATTTCGTATTTGTTTAACTTTTAGCTAACACTAAACATGGGTTCTGTCCTTTGTCATTTGGCTTATTTGGGCTTTAGTATTGCTCTCATACACCATCACAGCTTATCTCTCCTATACACCATAGCATATCAGGCACTTACTTGGACAAGGATCTGCTACAAGGGTAGATAGTGGAGTATTAGTCGAAATTAATCTCTCAGATGATAGACTATTAGTCACTGGGTGTGGCTCATTCTACAATAATTTTGATACAAATCCTTGTACTGATGTCAAAACATCGTACTCATGAAATAAAGGAAGTTGATTTCCATAAAGTTTGTCAGTCATCATCATCATCATCATCATCATCATCATCATCATCATCATCATCATCAGTGCCATGGAAGCTCACAATTTTAAAGATTTAGAATCAAGAAGTTCCTGTCAAAAATGAACAAGCAAACCCTCATGCTGGCCAGCCTAGTGTGAAGTCATACCTATGTTATGCAGCCCAGGGATGAGGCAGCCCAGTGTTGTAGAATGGGACTCAGCACTTATCTGTATGGTAGGACAGATGCCAGGTCTCTAGTACTGAACCCCACACATCAGGAATTGCAGTGAATGGAGCAATATGACACCAAGGAGTGGCACGCTCCCAGATACACCAACCTGACACCTTTCTACAACTCTGCAGATGGAGTGTGTATGGTCATGGCAGATGTTCCACTGGAACAATACTGAGGACTGTGTTAGCAGATTCTGGGGATTTCCCTCATGTTAACAAGGAACTGGTATTCTTGGAGAATTGAACTTATAATAATGTATTATTACCAAATACAGGAAGTAGAGACAGGATATATTTCCTCTTGATGCTGTATTTGCCAATGGGTTAAGGTTCAAGTAAAATTCAGAAATTCTGAATCCAAGATTTTGTAAATTTTCATATATATTTTTCTCAAAGAATTTATAAATTTTTAAAACCAGTTATTAATGGTAGTAAATGGTGTTCAGGACATAATTGCTATAATTGAGGTACTGTGTCACTGAATGACATGAGACCAAGATATGATTATGATGGGCTGTCAGCAGTGATGGAATCTATTGATGAGGAAATGGCCTGGCCTTCATTCTGTGGAAAGTGTTGGAATTCCTCTATGATGGTTTCACCATTTCCATGGCAACTACACTCTTCAGTTTGGCGGTGGCTCATTCCATCCATGCCTCCTTGTTATCATGTCTATGTTATTACAGGTCCACTGTAAAATAATCCATCTTGGATAAGTCAACAGGATTGGGACCAGAGTTTGTAATTGATGGAGAAGCAGCAGATTAAATCTGTAGCAAGTGGCAATGGCCTCAGTCTTGACTGTTGAGATAAAAAATGAAAGAAAAACTTTCATGTTTACTGTAACCCTACCTATTTCTCATTTGCAAATGAAATGGTTTTGAAGTATGTGTGACTAGTGACCAAGACTGACTGACTGACTGAGTTTAGTTTTACGCCGCTTTTAGCAATATTCCAGCAATATCATGGCAGGGGACACCAGAAATAGGCTTCACACATACTAGAAGTAGCTGAAACATTGCTGATATTAATTAATAATCTAACAAAATCGACTGGAAAAGATGTCTGAAGTGTAGGCAGTCGACTACAATGTTTTCTTCCCAAACAGAAACAGTATTGAAATCACATCCGCTATTCTGAGCTAGCTAGCCGCTTTTAGCAATATTCCAGCAATATCACACCTGAAATAGGCTTCACACATTTTACCCATGTGGGGAATCGAACCCGGGTCTTCGGCGTGACGAGCCAACGCTTTAACCACTAGGCTAGCCCACCGCCCCCAGTGACCAAGAACACTAATCAGAGGTTATTGTTGAAACTACAGTAAACACACTTATAACGAGCTAACAGATATAATGCAGAAGTTATTTGGTCTCTGTGACTAAATAATGAGCTACGGTTATACATTCTACAATCAGCGATCCCATTGAATTCATTATAACTAAAGCTTACTGTACAAACATGTTGCTTTTTGGATACCTATTGTCTCAATTAAGGCAGGGTAAGAGGTTACTAATGTGATCAGGTGGTCAGGCTCACTGACTTGGCTGACACATGTCATAACCCAACTGTGTAGAACGATGCTCATGATGTTGATCACTGTATTGTCTGGTCCAGATTTGAATATTTACAAACCCCGCCATATAGCTGGAATATAGTGTGGCGTAAAACTAAACTCACTCACTCAATTAAGGCAGGAATAGAAGTAGCATTATTTTATTATTTATTAGTTCATGTGTAAACAGTACCTTTAAACAGTATGGAATATTTTGCAAAATCTAGTTTAGAACCGTTGACTGAAGTGGCTATATTTACACTAGTGAGTCTAAACCTTTGATTAGTAGTACAGTATTGCTATTCTATAGCTGTACCACCAGTGCAATGGAAGACGTATGACTGCATGCTGCATACTTTCAATAATGCACATTTCCTTCCTTGATGACAAGGCAATACATGTCCTCCACTTCCTGGGTGCAGCAGACGGACATTTTCGGGGAAGTGGCACTAATTATTATAATTGTGGAGATGTGGGGTTTTCTTGTCACATGGCATGATTATCTCACTGATTCAGTGACATGGCAAAATGTATATTGTCATGAGTGAGAACTTGCTCACACAGTCGAGTCTGTCCTGATACTAGTAAGTGTGTTTAGTTTTACGCCGCTTTTAGCAATATTCCTTCAATATCTCGGCGGGGCCACCAGAAATGGGCTTCACACATTGTACCCATGTAGGGAATTGAACCTGGATCTTCGGCGTGACTAGCAAACGCTTTAACCACTAGGCTACCCCACCGCCCAATACTATCCCGATACTATACATGTAGGTGTGATATATTTCGTATCCCATTACAGTACTTACTATTTCGTAAGTTCATATCCTCTCCCCGTCTGCAGGTAAATCAATCGTTTTAAAGTTTGGATGGCAATGACGGAATAGGGGATAAACATATAAGCTTGGGGCACTGTGCAGATTCTGCTGTTAATAACCAAGCAGGGAATACTAGAGAATCTGCATAAACTGGGTCATGAACAGATTCTGTTATCATTTTCACATTATGCATCGGTATAACTTGTGACAGAGAAGTATCAGTGTATTGTATCATGAGTCTCGTGGCGCAGTACAATACTGTATTCTGCTACATGATTATCCTTCAGTGATATACATGGGGTTTATCAGCAAGAAAAGTCAAATTTCTTATAATTAAAACAATGGATCTGGTAAAAGCAGTTTACAAGATTATGGTCAGGTGTTTGTCCTTCAGTGTTTAGGATATAACAAAAGACTTGCCAAAGTTTCAAGTTCTTTAGTATTTTGGTTTTGTAACATCCCTTGTTGCCTTAACTGATGAATGGCTAGAGTGATTGAGTGAGTGAAAGTTGTTAAATGCTGTTGTCAGCAATAGCAGAGCTACATATTGACTTCTGCTGTTTGATGTCCTGATAGCCTCCCTTAGACAGGCCAGGAACCTATAATTGTGGGTTCTGTTCCTGGTTTGCCTTGTTGTGTTGCTAGGTGTGTCAGCGCCATGCTTCTGTTGTGTTTCACCAAAGAGTAAACGTCTGAGACCTGCATAACGTCACCCGTTCCTTCCACATGACACACTATGATGAAACAGGTTTACTGTTCAAAGTGGGTTAAAGCAAGCTCACTCATAAATATATACACTATTGGGCTATAGGATAAATGTCCGTTTCCAACCCCTGGCATAGATAAGCATAAACATGCAGGTTTTGTATATGGAAGGCTGAAGGTATCTGCTGATCTTGCAAGATGTTGTCTGACCCGCCATGAATCTTGTCTGGAGTACACCAGACTCAGAATTATGGACAGGCATGATAAGCATGCTTTCACTATCAGCGGAATCCTTTATGCATGGAAAACAGTGGTCCAGCTTGATGTCAGAGATGTGGCCAGCATTTCAAATTCAAATTTTATCTTTTGAAAATGTGACAAGGAACTGTAATGGATAGTGGAGAATAACAGATGTTTCTGGCGGATCTTGGCATGGGCCAATAAAGATGTAGCAGCGATTGATAACATTTTCATGGCTGTCATATGTGTTTGGTTGATAACTTTTAATGAGATTTCCTTACACGAAATTGCAAGCATGCAGGAGTTATTACAAGAATGCAGCTCTTTGCCCCGCTGTGGATACCTAATTGGAATAAACTGTACAGTCACACGCAAGTCATTATTGTCAGCTAACATGTGATGCGCAGCCATACATATAATGTTTGGGTGGAACGGAGAACTGGAACGTAGGAGCTGCCTCAATTGAGAAGGCAATCATGGTTGCTACGATATTTGTATCACAAGTCTCCAAAACAACAAGTTGCCTTAAGCTATTTATCTGAGAATACTATGATTAACAATTCTATTTTAAAACAGAATACAAATAAAAAATTGAAGTACTGCAAAATATGATGATGGATGGCCATACTTCTAATGGCTACCAATGGTACATAGATGCTCCATCATCTGTACTCAGGGATTTACATGGAGTCCTGTATTTGAAGGTCCCTGGGACTTATACTCTTAAGTTTCAGGGGTCCTGGACAACAAAATGGGGGTCCCAGACAGTTAAATATTATTGTTAATACTGTTATTGTATTGTGT